CGATAAACATGATAATCAGAACCAAAACAGATGTTTTTTAGCAGGTACGAGCTGTAATGGTGCAGCTCTATTCTGGAAAAGGGGGCGGGGAGCAGCAGCTCATTTGCATTTAAAGAGACAGGCACGAATACAGCATGTTTCTGCATCAACTCAAAATAGGCATTTTCAAAATGATATAATAAATGATCTGTGGGGTATTTTGAGCTGAAACTTCACAGACACAGTCTGGGGACACCAGAGACTTATATTACATATTGTAAAAAGGGGCATAATATATCTCCTTTAAGGTGCTTTATAAACATGTACAGTATGTATATATATATGTGTGTGTGTGTGTGTGTGTATATATAGATGTTTGTTGTGTAGTGTATATATATATATATATATACACACTTGTTATAACACTTGCATATCATTGCTCTTTTGTTGATTTTGATTGCTTCTATTGTCCTAATTTGTAAGTCGCTTTGGATTAAAGCATCTGCTGAAAGACTAAATGTAAATGTTCATGTAATGTAACAATACTTATATTTATATTTATATAAATTACATTCTAATGTAAAATCTCAAGTAACAAATTTCAGTTATAAAAATGACGTGGAAATGTTTCTTAAATGTTGAAATGTCTAGTTTCCTTGTTGGAATTACGTTATTTAAAGGCGACTAAAATGTTTCTTAAACATTCTACTAATTTTATTTTACCCGAAATATAACATTATTTGAACATTTATTTTTAATATTCTAAGAACATTAAAATATCCAGTTTACTTGTGATTAGAATGTCATTGAAAGGTTACAACAATGCTTCTTTTAACATTCTACTGACCTTTTTCCTGAAATGTAATATTATTTTTTAATATTCTAAGAATGTTACAATGTCAAGTTTTCTTGTCATGATTAAAAATGATATTTAAAGGTGACTAAAATGTTTCCTAAACGTTCTACTAATTTTATTTTTCCCAAAAATATAATGTTATTTGAAGGTTTATTTGTAATATTCTGAGAAAGATTAAAACGTCCAGTTTTCTTGTTGTGATTATAACGTTATTTAAAGGTTACTAAAACGTTTCTTAAACGTTCTAATTTTAATTTACCCAAAATATAATGTTATTTGAATGTTAATTCTGAGAAAAGTTAAAATGTCTAGTTTTCTTGTCGTGATATAATGTTATATAAATGTTTATTTTTAATATTCTAAGAACATTCAAATGTCCAGTTTTCTTGTCATGATTAGAGGTTACAAAAACGTTTCTTAAATGTTCCACTGATTTTATTTTTCGCCAAAAAATAATGTTATTTGAATGTTTATTTTTGATATTTTAAAAACACTATATCCAGTTTTCTTGTAGTGATTACAACGTTATTTAAAGGTTACAAAAATGTTTAATAAACTTTCTACTAATTTTATTTTTCCCCAAAATATATTGTTATTTAAACGTTTATTTTTTGACATTCTAAGAACATTAAAATGACCAGTTTTCTTGTTGTGATTAGAATGCTATTTAAACGTTACAAAAAAGTTTCTTAGAAGTTTCAAGTACAAATAACATCATATTTATGTTCCAAGAATGTTGATCTCAGAACATGTTTTTCAACATTATGAGAACGTATATCAAATATTTATAAGGTTATAAGAACATTCCATAATGTTTTGTCCTAACATTTATATAACTTCCATATAAACCGTTGGTAAAAGTTGTGAGAAGGTTCCCTGTGAGCTGGGATTCTAAAGCAGAGCTGGATTTTTCTGAAACATAAGCATGGTTTTTCAGATCTGCAGTGCTAAACATGAAATTTGCATTACATTTGAATGGTAAATGTTATGTAAATATCTATCTGTGAATGCTGGCACCTTAATTGAGATTCTATTTAAATACAAGCAAAAACCTAGCAAAAAACACTCTAATTGATCTGGGATGAAAACACAGTAAACAACAGCAGTAATTAATTTAATATTTTGCAATAAAGCACTGGAAAAGCTACAGCATTTTCTTATTTTTAAGATCATTTGAACCCTTTGAGGCATGTCGACTGTTGACTCTCTCAGAATTAATCATTTAGAATGATTAATTCCATATTATTAGAATTATGGAATTATGATGCTCTTGTTTTGAAGTTTTCAACAACCCAAACATTGAGATCATTAAGAATTGAAATAAAACAAAAATGACTAAAACTAAAACAGCACTGAAATAAATGAAGATAAATAGAAATATTAAAAAATAACAAAAAATTCGATTTTTAAAAATATATAAAAATAATATATATTTTTTTCATTCTTGCAGATAATTTCTTCAAAGTGGAAGGAGCCAAGGACGCCTTAATATGTGGGAATGCAAGTGATGCTGGGTGAGTTTAATGCGCTTTGAGATTGCTTTGTGGTACAGTGATTTTACTCTGGTATTTTGCTTACCCTTACCAAAAAGTAGTATATTTCAAGTTTATTTTATTAAGTATACTTAAGTAAAGTTCAAGTATATATTTAAGTATACTTTATGTAGCAAGTATACAAATATCAGTGTACTAGTAGTATACTTGTAAGTGTACTATTTCAATACTCCTTGGGACTAAATTGGCCTTTATTTATGATAATTCATTTACTGACAATGGTTTCATAATGTAATTCATTAGCTGTAGGCTGTTTACAGTTGCCAGGCAAGATAGTCGACACACTTTCTTTGCGATTTGTAAATTGTAAAGTAAAATTTTACATTTTGGCAAATTTGTAGCAAATTCGTTTGTTTGTTTTTGTACGATCATATTCTGGGCTCATCTGCTTGTCTGTTTATAGTATGCATATTCAATGAGGTGTGTACTGAATTTGATCTTTTAATATGACTGTCTTTGTACATTATTAAGCGTTTTTGAATGTTTTGAATGTTGAAGGTGATCTAAGGATTTGTGGTTTGAATTTGTGACTAAAAATAATGAATAGAATGTGTGTTCGTTACTGGATTTCACCTTCAAACGTGACTCATCCAATCAGACGTGAGGGGCGGAGCTATGCATGTTATGAAAGGTAAAACTAAAGCTAGATTTGGTCGTTGTGCAGCAGCTGCTGTAAGAGCTGTGAGTGTCTGACTCAGCAGAGCTGCATGTACATGTATGAGTCAGCGGCCTTGACTAACACAGCAACCAGACAGACGCCAATCAAGCCCTCCAATCCAGAGGAACGTGTCTGTGTGAACTGCTGTCAACTCCACGTATCTGAGTCTTTCTTCATATTTAGACAAGTAAAATACAATCTATTTATTTATCAGTTTATTTTATTATCAGTATTATAATGGATAATGCCATCTGCAACCTGCTTTAAACTAATGGATTTCAGTAAACATGACTGTCAATAAAAAATAAAAATAAATAAAAATAAAAAAAAAAAAAAATTATTGAAAAAAAAATTTAAATACCAGAATGGATTCATATCATCGACAGGATTATTATAGTAAAAGTATAAAAACCATAAACGTTATACTTGTTACTTGAAAAAAAAATGTAACTGATAAAATAAAGTAAAATAAAAATAAAGTGAAATAAAATAAATGATAGAATAAAATAAAATATTAAAAAATTTACTTATTTTATAGGGATGCACCGATATGAAAATTCTGGCCGATACCGATAACCGATAATTCTTTATTTTTGAAAGCCGATAACCGATATGTTGCCCGATAAATCTATATCCAAATTTTTATATACTTTTTGAGAGCCTGATTACAAACGCAGTTATTGATACATATATACATATTATCTATATGAGATAAATCAGATATACATCAAATAAACACAATATTACAACGTACAATTGCACAAAAGGCTGCCGATACCGATAACAGAAAAAATTAGCATTTATCGGCCGATACCGATATGGTGGCCGATATATCGTGCATCCCTATTATTTTATTTCAGCTAGTTTCCAAGGCGACATTTCTCATTTTCATTTAGTTTAACTTGATGTACTAAAATAACTAAAACTGAAATAAATATGAATAAAAAATATACAGACATATTAAAAAATAAAAACTAATAAAAATGACAAATGCACACAATTTTTTTTAACTAAAATTAAAATGACAACATAAAATAAAAACTAATTAAAATATTAATAAAAATTATAATAGTATCTAATAATTACCAAAATAAAATAATAAAAATACTAAAATAACACTAACCGTCAGTGGAAATGGAAATTTGCTTTAAACTTTGTTTTTGAAATGAAAAATAATTATATAATTATAATAAGAAAACCATAACAAATAATAACTTGCATTTCTAATAACTTAAGATTATGAAGACAAAACGTGTTTTTCTTGGGAATAATCAGCACTTGTGATTCATGTACAGAAACATAAATCATTTAATTTGAATTGAATAATGACTTAAGTACATAGGGTTCACTTTGCAGCAGTTTTCACTTAGAAAATGCTAGTAAATATCACCAATAATTACAAAGAAATTCATTGAATTAAATGCGAAAAACTAAAATCGTATTTTCTTGTAAAACACACTAATCATCTAAAAACCATTTTTACAGAATAGTTGAAATGCATAAATGAGAATCTAAACACAGTACTGAACAAATATTATAATAATCCAGTCTGTGGTGTGAAATCCTGCAGCTCAGAGGAACATCGGTGTGTGTGTTCATAACTGAAGGAGTGTATGTGAGTTTATATGAGTGTATGGCATTACGCGTCCGCTCAGGAGGGATTTGTACAGTATGTGCTGATGGTCATTTCTCTGCTTACATAAGCTCGCAGGAGCTCACTTCAGTGAGTCATGACATCTTCAGTCTCTTACGAGAAAACGAGCTGCTGCTGAGGAGCTCTGAGAGTTAGAGGTTACTTAACAGATCACCAGGTGAAGTTTAGTCTCTAAATGATCAACCACACAATCTACTGCATGCCTTCTGTCTCTGACTGATAGACTTTAGACTCAATCAGCACTGGATTGCATTGCATTATATGTTTGGATCATTTCAATCTCATCTTACTGAGACCTGTTATTGGAGATATAGATTGATGACTGATATTTAGATCATTTTTTGTAAGTATCCGCTACACTGTTATAAAGATCTCACCGACTTACATTACAAGCTATCAGAATTTCATCTCAATTTTTAGCCTTATAAATATTAGCATCTGCATCAAATTGCATATGTTTGCTGAGTTTGGGCCTCTGAATAAAACTGAGCTCTTTTTCCTCCATGATCTCACGATATCAGACTACACTGAAAAAAATGATACTACATTTTTTTTAAGGTAAGTGTTTGCAAACAATTTATTTTAGCTACATTTAAAAAAAAAAAATGTTAAAAGTTAGTCAACTAAATTTGCTTATTTAAATGTAGCTAAAATAAAGTGATTGCAACCACTTACCTTAAAAAAAAAATTTAGTATCAGTTTTTTCAGTGTATCAGACTAAAGCCTGATGCATCAAATACTGGGGTCTTTTTTATTTTTTAAAATATTTCATATAAATGTTCAATAAACTTAGTTATTTCAAACTTTTATTTTATATCATCAAGCTTTACAGGGTTAAATGACATTAATAATTATTAATAAAAAAACTGAAATATAATAAAAAAAATTTAAGTATTTTTTTTTTGTATATTGTGACTTTTTAAGTATTTTTGGGTTAGGTTATATAAACTGTTCCATTAAAAAAAAATAGTTTTTTGACAATAATTTCATGTGAGTATTTACAGGGTTAAACACCAGTAAT